TCAGATCCACAAAATTTTCCTGATAGAATTCAAGTGTGTCCTAAGTAGTTGGATGAAGAAGCCATGATTATTGGACAACGACGGCAATCAGGTAATAATCGCAAATTGCAAATGCTGCACTTCTCCACCCTCTATTGATGGTAGCGTTATCAATTAAACCAAAGCTTATGATTGAGCTCCAGATTTTCTACCGCTCACCGCTTATATTTCAACGTTTATTGATATGAGATCGATTGCACGAGAATAAATATTCTCATGGTGATATAAACAATTCACAAAAGTGATAGAGTACAGTTAAGATCAAAGTACAAGAGATTGGAGTATCGAATTCTACAAAGCGAGATATCGCGATCTACAGTCAAAGTATACAAGTAAGTTAATAATGTACAATATCATCCGTCGCCACGTAGACACCGTCGTTCTTACCCATGTGTGGTGTCATCTTCCACAAAGTCATAGGCTTGTTCTTTAGTAACCACATCAATATGGGAAACCTGTAAGAAGCAAATGCAAATGAGTTGTCCAAAGTCAAAACGGGATCACGCCATAGTAATTTTTGTGCAGACTTAGCCAAATTCTGACCGCAAAATATGCAAAATTGCTATTCGCAAATGGTCACAATGGTCTTACCTTATTACGAAACTTGACACCATAATACTTCTCTGCTGATTCAAGTAATTCTGGACGAAAAGTGGTAGTGATGAACTGTGCGTTCTCCGCAAGCTCATGGATCATATCTATAAAAAACCTTTCATGAGATAAGACTAAGTAAACCGCTTCAAGCATGCGACATAGGAAGATTCAGATTTATGCACCTGCAACTGCTTTCCTATGCTGTGCATCAAGAGCTGCGTCGATTTCATCGAAAAGGTAAAACGGCGCTGGATCACATTTTTGGATGGCAAAAATCAGCGCCAGTGCGACAAGAGACTTCTGCCCACCAGAGAGTTGTACCATTTCTCGGGTCTCAGAACTGCCGTTGAACGATACCTGCGATAAATTATTACTAGCTACACATCGTTCCCAACATAACACCGTGGAAAAACAAATGAATATTTCAAATTAGTAAAAATAGCTAACACACCTTTATCCCAACTCC